TCTCAGTAGGTTACTAAACATAGGATAAATTAGTACTTGAATTAGAAGAACTTATAAATTCTTTTCCACTCCTATATTCTGTGTGTCTGCATTTGTGCTATGACATGATTTTCTAATGGAAGCCAATATTTTAAAATGCAAAGAAAAGTGTTAGAGTTCCACTGGGATTTTTTTTTTTTGGCAGCACTGGGGTTTGAACTCAGGGCTTTGTACTCATTAGGCAGGTGTTACACTGCTTGAGCAAGGCCTCCAGCCCTCCACTGAGATTTTAACAGAGATACTGAAATGATAACAGATAATTGTGAGACAGGGGAACTGACCACCCTGCCTGGAGTGTATAGCACCTATTCACACTCCTCACCTCTCATCTCTCTTGGGGTCCTCTTGTGGGCTCCTCACTACTGCCAATGCCTTTGATACTGCTATCCCCAATATGTGCAATAGCTGCTTTTCATGCAAATCCCACACTTAAGGTCGAGTTTGGAAATCCACATCCCACACAAAACGTCCCCAGGCTACTCCCAACCTACAGTGATTTTACCTGTTCTTTGCAATATTATTATATCCATCTGGTATCCTTTCCCTATAATCTACTATTTAATTAGATATTGCTTTTATACTTTTCTAGTTACTTTATGAAATCCTTTTTTTTTCCCAAGCAATTTTCTAAGTTTCCTTTTTTATTTCAAAAACCGGGGCACAGAGTAGGGCCTTTGTTCATCCTCATCAGGGAGCAGGCACCAATCTGCAAGGTGGTCATCATCCCAACCTTTTATCATAGAGGTGAGGCAATGAGGAGGCTCTAGAGTGCTGGTCTGGTTAGGTTAATGTATTAAAAAACAAAATTCTAACTTGATTTAGGATCTATTTCTAAAGGAAGGGAACCATGGCCCCAAGAACGCCAAAGGAGACAGATGAGGTAGAAGAAAATGAAACAGGAGACATTACCTCATGTAACAGTGCCCATGCCAGCCCAGGAGGCTGACATCCCAACCCTAGCACATGCTCCAGGAATGTCCCAGCCTTCCTTTTCTGTCTCTCTTCCTCACGTTCTGAAGCAGTGCTCCTGCTTACTGCTACTGCTGTGCCCTTTGAACAGTTCCAGCTCACCCTGAAGGAATTGTGACATTTTAGTGGTGGGTGAGGCTACTCCTCTGTAGAGTGTCTCAGTTGGGAATGCAGCTTTTGGAAGAAAGACACTATTTAAAAAGAAGAACACTATTCCTTTGACAGCCCCACAGTTGGGCAAATGGTTAGAAACAGAGAATCAAGACCAAGTTGATTCTAGTTTTGAAGTGTATCTTCCTGTTTCAAGATGGTCATCATATCTCACTATGACCAATTCATTCTATTTTTTCAACAGGAAGATACTGGCTGTAACACAGTCAAGGAATGCTTTCCTTGGAATAATGGTGAAGGAAGTAAAATGAAGAGTAGGTTTCCTGAAAAAATGATTCTTTAAAATGATATTGGGTAACACACCAAGTGGGACACTTTTGTCATAAGTTGTGAGTATGAAGAGTGAAGACACTGAGCCAAGGTTCTGTGTGACACAGCTAACAACTTTGTTCATAGCCTGATAGATATGTGCAAATAGTTACTGCCTAGAAAACAATGTGATTGCACCTGCCATAGTTTAAGAGCCTAAAGAGAGAGGGGTTCCTGTTCTGAGCCTCTCACGAGAGTTTACTGAACTACAAATTACTCTTACTAAGCAATTTCTCCAAGGAAGAAATACACATAAGAAAAAGACTCCCAATCTTGTCCATGAACTTGGACCTGCACTGTGAGGCTGCCCAGGATCAGGCTGGCTCCCAGGAAGAAAGTCCACAGGGCCACCTTTTGCTTGGCATTCTCCGTGTGATAGTGTTCTGAAATAACACGATTTCTTTCAGATCATGGAATTTTGCTTTCTCTTACAATGAGACACTTTGGGGGAGCTATCAGCATCACTGTGACATTTTCGTTAAAGAAAGGAATTTAGAAAATGCTTTTCATGAAGTGTGGCAAAAGAGAAATGAGAGCAGAATAATTAATTATCTTAAAAAATCAACTGCACCCCTATAATGTCTGATTAACTTGGGGGGCTTTTAGTTTAAATTTAAGAGCAAAAGGTTAGGATTCCACAGGGCACCAGAACTCAGTATTCCATCTCACCATCATTTGTAAGAACTCTTCAAAGTAATAACATTTATGCGAATGAAAGGCAGAATTGCAGTGCAGAATGGGAGACTCCGCTTTTGCCTGGGTAACAAGCCCTTACTTCTGCCGATGCGTGGAGCATGTTACTGTGGTGAGAAAAAAATTTTGGCTTCTTCCTATTTGAGTGGCTTTCATAGCACACTGGGCATCGTGGGGTTTTCCTCACACACTCTCAACTCCTCTGGTAAGCCTGTAATTTCAGAGATAAAAACAGTAATATCCAGCCCACTGGGTGAGTTTTAGCTAGCTGGGTCACTGAAAGTCAGTCCTAGAGCTGGAAGACAAATTTCTTTCTGGACCAAATCTTTCAAGATTTGTTGAGAAACCTTGACAGTTTCCCCATCCTTGAACTGTAACACAAACCTAAATGCTAGAAATTAAAATGGCAGAAAGTCAACCCTTGCTGAGGACAAACAAAGGTGAACAGAGTCCAGCTTGCAACCTGAATGCTGGGCTGCATCTGTGGGAATAACTGCTTTGATTAAACCGGTAAAACCAGAAGGAACCTTTCTGGTGAGAGATCCAAGAAAGTGTCACCTTCCACACCCCAAAGTGGCAAATATGATGTTATTCTGAATTCCCCTGTTGGCTGTTCTTGAAACACCTTTTTTGGTCTGGTTATTCAACAGTGCTCTAGTACTTTAAAATTACTCTAAATTGAAAGAGTTAAGCTAATGAAAAATCAATTTTATTTTTGTCTTTTTTTTAACTAATAAGAAACAACCCAAACATTGTATGCACATATGAATAAAAGAAAAAAAAAAGAAAAAATCCCTTTTATCCATAGCATCAAAGATGGGAAGCCAGGTTCTTTTTTTTTTTTTTTCATTTTTCTTTTATTATTCATATGTGCATACAAGGCTTGGTTCATTTCTCCCCCCTGCCCCCACCCCCTCCCTTACCACCACTCCGCCCCCTACCCTCTCCCCCCCCTCAATAACCCAGCAGAAACTTATTTTGCCCTTATTGTCTAATTTTTGTTAGAGAGAGCTATAAGCAATAATAGAAGGAACAAGGCGGTTTTTGCTGGTTGAGATAAGGATAGCTATACAGGGCTTGACTCACATTGATTTCCTGTGCGTGGGGTTACCTTCTAGGTTAATTCTTTTTGAATCTAACCTTTCTCTAGTAACCTGTTCCCCTTTTCCTTATTGGGCCTCAGTTGCCGTTAAGGTATGTGGCTTTATTCTCGTGCTTCAAGGGCAAACAAATGCTAGCTAGTTTTTAGGTGTCTTACCTATCGCTCACCCCTCCCTTGTGGTGCTGCTCGCTTTGTATTCATGTGCTCATAGTCCAATCCCTTGTTGTAGTTTGCCCTTTGATCTAATAGTCACTATGAGGGGAGAAATACGATTTTTGGTTTTTTTAGCCAGGCTAACCTCACTCAGAAGATGTTTCCCAATTCCATCCATTTTACCAGCCAAATGATAACATTTCGTTCTTCTTATGCTGCATAAATTCCATTGTGTATAGATACCACATTTTCTTAATCCATCGTCAGTGCTGGCGGCATCTTGGCTGTTTCTATAACTTGGCTATTGTGAATAGTGTCCGCAATAAACATGATGTGAGTGCTCTGGAGTAACGTCTTTTTGGGTTGCTTTAAAGGTATCTGCTTTAGTTTCTCTGCATTAAGGGCAACAAATGCTAGCTAGTTTTTTAGGTGTCTTACCTATCCTCACCCCTCCCTTGTGTGCTCTCGCTTTTATCATGTGCTCATAGTCCAATCCCCTTGTTGTGTTTGCCCTTGATCTAATGTCCACATATGAGGGAGAACATACGATTTTTGGTTTTTTGAGCCAGGCTAACCTCACTCAGAATGATGTTCTCCAATTCCATCCATTTACCAGCAAATGATAACATTTCGTTCTTCTTCATGGCTGCATAAAATTCCATTGTGTATAGATACCACATTTTCTTAATCCATTCGTCAGTGCTGGGGCATCTTGGCTGTTTCCATAACTTGGCTATTGTGAATAGTGCCGCAATAAACATGGATGTGCAGGTGCCTCTGGAGTAACAGTCTTTTGGGGAAGCCAGGTTCTGATCATGCCAATTATTTTCAAGTTTATTTAAAATACTAGTGAGGCCATGAGCAAACAGGAAAATAGAGATGTTTTAAAAGATTTATTTATTTTTCTGTAACACTGGATACCAATAGGAAGATAAGAAAAAGTAATTTCTTATTCACAAATTTTATCATCTTTGATTATAGCCCACTATTATGGGCTGAATGGTGCCTTGCCAAATTTCTATATTAAAGTCCTAACCCCCTAGTACCTCAGAAAGTGAACTTATTTGGAAATAGGATGTTACAGATGCAATTAGTCAAAATGAAGCCACAATAGAGTAGGGGGTCTACCTATTACCTATGGGAGACTCCTACTCAAGTATGTCTGGTGTCCTTATAAACAGAGGAAACGTGGACACAAACACACACACAGACAGAATACTGTGTGAAAATGAAGACAGAGATCAGGATGACACATCTATGTGCCAAGGAACACCAAGACTGCCAGCTACTGCCAGCAGCTAGAAGAGAGGCCTGGAACAGATCCTCCTTCACGGCCAAAAGAAGGAATCAAACCTGCCAGCCAATACCTTGATTTTGGACTTCTTGCCACTAGGCCTGTGAGTCAATTAATTTCTGTTGTTTAAGTCACCCAGTGTGTGGTACTTTGTGATGCAGTTCTAGCAAATTCAAGGAGAAAGAAATAAGCATTTTCATGGCCTAGTAATTTTTAACACCTAGTTCTTTTAAGATAGAATTATCCCAAAGAAAAAGGTTTGGTTCTTACTGTCAGTTCCTGGGGAACAGAGTTTGGCTTCCTGATGTTGATCTCAATGCTGTTGCTGTCTTGTTTCACCTGCAGTGGGGAGCCAAGCGCTCTGGCCACACCTTCAAACATCTGGGACTTGGTTAAGGGGGGTGCAGGTGCCACTGTGGGATCCTCTTTTTCTTTCTCCTCCTCATCTCCATGGACTGTCTCTCCATTCATGCTGATTTTCCCATCTACCTATAAAAGCCAGAATGAACAAAAAGATGATAACAGAATATACTTTCAGAATTATGTTAAAGAATTACCACTGAAGAAAAATAATCCACAAAAGAGTAAGGCCTCTCAAATGTTTTCATTGGTTCGAGAAGCTAGGCCTTCTGTAATTACCGTCTGTAATGGCCTCTAACAGGCTGTTGACCTTCTCGGGTCACATCACTATTAGATGATAGTTCATGTTCACCTGATTTATGGTGTGCTCTTACTTGAAAGTAGAAAAAACCAGGGAATCTTAAGCACAAACACATGTCATATATTTGGGTTCCAGTAATTTTTAATTCAAGTTCCGACTGCTCTTTCACAACTTAGCATTTAAATTAAGTAGAACCTACCTTGGATCAGGAACACCTTACAGGATCTGATACTATGTGATGTTATAGAAATTCCTTTTTCTAGGTAATTTTACCACCCCAGTGTTTTTCAAAAAAGAGAAGACTATACATATTAAAGTGTTTCTGTGCTGCGCTCATCATGTCTAGGGACAAGAAAAGGAGGAGCAGAAAGGTGGGTAGCTTGGCTTATGCAAAGGTATCTAGAAATCTCTGTGTTGGAGTTTGAGGCAGAATGTACGGGATCATGAGAGAGCTCTGCAGTTAGGCTTGAGGTCAAATCCTGGCTCTCCCACTCAGGAGTCACACGCTCTCCAGCAAGCTTCTTATTCTCAGTGCACGAGTGTAAAACTTCTCATGAGAGCATCTCCTTCACAGTGCTGGAATAGGGATCGTCTGAGTTAATATACGTACCTGATGCATTTTAAGAATTTAAATGTTTGCTATTTCTGTGTGCCTCCTAAAATCTTTAGCTAGTAATAATGGAAGGCCAGGTGTTAGTTATAGTTATTTACCTTGTGCCACTGGCTTTTATACTCTGTCATTCATAAAAAAGAAACTCGAATCATAACTCAGCACACACACACACACACACACACACACACAAATTCATGTGAACATAACAGGGATGGAATTCCTCAAAGCTATATTTATCTTTATTGTGTGTGATCACTATGCTGTTTTTTAATGTTGTGTTCTATTCTACTTCATTTTAAAAATGCTGATTCCCAACCACTAAATTAACTTGATAACTTAGGAAAGGATGGCAACTCTCAGTTTCAGAAACAGTGGCTTCAACTATTTCATTTGCTCATCCTCTACTGTTTTCCTAAAATACATTGTATTTGTTGTTGAGATAGGGTGCTGCTGTGTTGTTCAGGTGGCTATCAAACTTCGGTGCTCAAGTGATCTTCCTACCTCAGCTTCCTCAGCAGCTGGGACTACAGGTGTCTACTATTGCACCTGGCTCTTCCTTTACTCTTAATTCTGTTGTACTGAGGAAACAACTGACTTGTATTCCCTGTCTTCCAGCCCACAAGAAGTTCACACACACACACACACACACACACTTCCCTCCTGCCACTCAACTGCCCATCTACCCACCCATTCAATGATGGAGCTGTAGGCTATTAACAGGGCTGACAGCCATGATCTCTACAGACAACTACTAGTAAGTGATCAACAGTGACCTTCAGCTTTGGGAGGACCTCCACTCAGGCTCCTTGGATTCTCTCCTGGGGACTCTGCCACCCAGCCCCTATGCAGAAGCCCAGGGTTTTCTCAGAGCCCGAGTTTTGCCATAAAGTCACCCATTCTGGTTCTTCTATTTAGGTGATCGCCTTGCACTATTTACATGAAGGAGGGGAAGTGGACATCTAAATGACATGATCAGATACGTTAGATACCCAGGTAAATAAATGTGTTCCCTGCCCCTGTTCTGTGCCACCTCCACATAAAATATTCCTTCGTAGATGTCATAGACCACTCATCACCATGTGCCCCAGGTGTAGGAAAGCACACAAACACTTCAGCTGAGCACACATGCCGGGCATGTGAACACGTGCATGCATGAGTCTATAGGGTCAGAAGCTTCTCTTCTCAGGAAAGATTCAGTTACTCGCTCACTAAACATTGGCTGAATGCCCACCTGTGCCAGGCTCTCAAGATGGACTTGTGAATAACAAAAAGAGACCCTTCCCCGAAACATCTCAGTTCAATCCAGATGAGACAGCCAGGACATTTTTTTATTCTATCAAAACCCATGGCATAAATTTGAACCCAGGGCCTCATGCTTGCTAGGCAACTGCTCTACCACTTGAACCATGCCCTCAGCCCATTTTGCTTTTATTTGTTTTTCATATAGGGTCTTAGGCTTTTTCCCAGGCTGGTCTCAGACAGTGATCCTCCTACCTCAGCCTTCAGAGCTGCTGGGATTATAGATGTGTCCTACCATGCCTGGCTGGGGATACAGATTTTAAAAATACATTTGATTATTTAAGCAAAAGTCAGAGCATATGGTTTCATTCCCTCTGAAATTCAGTAAGGAAGATATATGTCATCACACTGCTCTATTAGTCGAGTTACACAAATTTCTTCACAATCCTAATGGTCACATTTCCTAGTGATGAATTCTTCCTTGTCACCTATCACAAACTCATGTGCTGTGTGCATAAGGATAATGAAAATTGATTTTCCTTTACAGTCAAAAGGGCTGGAGACAAAGGGTGAGTTCTTCCTCATGATATGATTGAAAACACTGGAATGTGAAGAAGTGAAAGGATGTTTGGTTGTCACAGGTTCTTTGATTTTGGAAGATTACTTTACACATTCATTGATAAAACAATCCAGTGTCTTTCCACTTAAGAAAAAGACTGTCCCATCTCAGAACCAAGGATATCCCAGGCTATCATGTGTGCCTTGTATTTTTTTCCGATTGTAGCACCTCTATGGGTATGATGTCAATTTCTTCCTAAAAGATACATGGCTGTTTTTATTTCTATTTAAACAAAAAACAATCAAAATTTTGCTTTGAGGAGCTTGTCATACCTCCAGATAGCTGGAGATGCTGGGGTGTCAGTAAATTAGGATTTATTTCCACTACTGTAGAGAGACTCCCCATATGTCAAATTAGAAGACAAATGACATGATTGCCAGTCTCACTGAAATCCATTGGTATTAACAACAGTAATTGAGAGGAATGTCTATTCCTTAAGTATTTGCAACCAAATCTCCCCAGACACATAAACTAGGAATCATAAATGTTATTGCACCTGGCTTTTGTTTGGAAAAATAATTGCATTTTTCGGAGTCTGGATGCTTTCCCATCTTACCTTAAAGGTCTTCAGAACCTCTTGAGAGTTTTTGGGCTGGGAGTAAGGCTTGGGTGTCAGCATAGGCACTGCTTTGGAAGTAACAGTTTTGCTGGGAGACCCACTGCCTGTTGCCGTGTTGGTGTCAGGAACACTGGCATGAGCAATGGTGGTTTCAACTGTGGCAGTGAACTTGGGTGGAGGAAGGGACTGTTGCCTCAGATATTTCATGGGACTGGGGTCGTTCAGGAAGGAGGATAAGTTTGGCTCTGTTGAATGGCTTCTTTCCAGAATTTTTGGCATCTCCAAGCGTTCAAGGACAGCCTCACTGATGGTGAACCTCTCAATGTACTGCTGCAGGATGCTTTCTGCCTCCTCCTGTGACTGTGCATTCTTGTACGCCTCGTGCAGCTCCCTCTCTCTCCGCTCTCTAGGGACAGAGCACAGGAGGGGAGCAATGAGAAAGTCAGCAGTCATGAAAGTGGCAAGAACACCTTGGTGGGAACCAAGGTAGAGTAAAACCAAGAGTACAAAACAATGGTGTGAGGGCTTTTGTGATAACAGGTTTTAGAAAAAGCATCTAGAGAACATCCATTAAAAACAACAAGAAAGAACCCACTTTTCTTGAACAATTTCTCTGTAGGTCTTGATGCTTTTCCTTCGTTCACTTGTCCCATACTCTCCAGCCAGTAACTTCTCCATTTTTTTCCTTTCTTCCTCTTTCTTGATTAAGTCCTGAGAAGCACTTCTTCTACGGCTCTTCCAACGAGCCAGGTCCTGGGGGAGAGAGAGATACAGCTTGCACATGACTCCATCTCTACTGGCCAGTAGAGTTTAGAGAACACTGACAATGCTGGGACTGCCCACACAACCCAACCCAATGTAAGTTCAGATGGAAAAGGATGCCTTGAAGGCGGGACACATGCAGATTTTATCTACACTACCCATAGAATGGTGGCATATTTATTTAAACAAGGCAGTAGAAAATATACAATCATATTTCATGTCACCTGCCAAATTTTAGAGAATTGCTTTACAAGGTAATTGTAGGGAACTTCATTTTTTCTGATTTGTGACCTCTGCATTATAAATAGACTTTCTGACACTAGAATGATAGGGATTTAATTTCTTTCTTTCTTTCTTTTTTTTTTTTTTTTAATGATACTGTGGTTTGAACTCAGGGCTTCATGCTTGCTAGGCAAGTACTCTACTGTGTGAGCTATGCCTCCAGTCCTTTTTTCTCTGGTTATTTTGGAGATAGGGTCTTGCTTTTTCCCTGGGCTGGCCTGGAACCATGATCCTCTTAATCTCAGCCTCCCCAGTAGCAGGGTAACAGGAGCACACCGCAGCACCCCACTGCACTCAGCTGCTGGTTGAGATGGGGTCTCACACCTTGAACCAAAATCCTCCAGATCTCAGCCTCTCAAGTAGCTAGGATTAAGGCGTGAGCTACTGGTTCTAGGCTACATAGTTTCTTCATGGTAGGAAATAAAGGCAGAAAAAAATTGGCTTTGTAGTCTTACAGATTAGATGATACTATATGTATTAATTCATTTTATCCTTAGAACAACCTCACCATAAGTTCTTCAGGTAGTTATACTATAGTGATGGAAAGTGAGGATTCTGAGGTCACAGCGATGGGAATGCAGCTGTGGGAAATAGTCCACTTATCTTGCCCATGTTTTGGAATCTCAGGCATGAGTCTTAACCTCGCCGTACCTCAGTTTCCTCATGTCTAAAATGGACACAATCACAGCACCTCTCCTTACAAGCCTGTAAGGTTGAATGTGATAATCTGTGTACAGTGTCAGGCACAAAGAAAGTGCTCAGCACATTATAGACAAACTTCGCACTACTTTTTAGCGACTTTGGAGAAGTTGCTAACAGAAAAGATCTGCTCTCCTCCCCTCCCCACTAACTCAAAGCTCCTTACTGCTTTAGCTCCCAGCTTGCAACACATAATCTCAAATCCCTCATGAGCCTCTTCCCTGGTTCCAATCCTGTGTGACTTTGGGCAAATGACTTAGCTAGGCTGGGCTCCTTTGCAGAATGGAGGATGATAACAGTTTGCTAGAACAATGAGTTATTAAGAGAACCAAATGAATGGTCATGGGTAGGCACTTAGACCAGTCAGTGCCTGGGACTGGTACACTTCCTGGTGGCCATATTTCTGTCACCATCACCATCATCGTGAATAGCAAATAGAGAATCTCAAAAGACAGGCCATCCTCTGTTCTGCCACCATCCCACTTGCTGGCCTCTGCTGGCTCCTCTCTCTTTAGTGGCCACGCTTTTGGCAGGCTACCTGCTGATTAACGCCAGTGACTTTCAGCCTGTACTCTTCATGTTGCTATTAACCAGTGGCTTTAATCCTCACGTCTACTGTTTGAAATCCTCTAGGAGCTCCCTTCCCCAGCTAGGCTTTCAGGTCCAAGCTGGATTTCAGCTGTGAGCAGCCTCCCCGCTGCCCTGCGCGCGGCCTTGGCCAGAACTCACATCTTGCCATTTGTCGTCCTCTTCCCTCAGCTGGTTATTTATCAGCTGCAGCTGCTCCTGGCGGGCCCTGCTGTGCGGCAGCACCGCGGCCTCCTCCTCACACCGCATGTCAAACATACTGGTGCTCCTGTGTGCAGACAGCAAAGACACAAAGCCAGCGCATCAGCGCCCCCAGACTCCGCCGCGCGGGGGCGCTAGCGGGCCTGGCCCCCTCTGCAGCCACAACGGCCACGGTGGGCACGCGGTCCCACCGCCGCGTCTGCAGCAAAGCCAGAATGGGATTGTCTATGCGGTGATGGCACCGAATCGGGTGCCAAAGAAGAGCTAGAAAAAGGTATCCCAAGCGCTGGGCGCCTCTCATTTGGAAATGTCTTTCGAAATAAAATGAGAATTAAAAGGTACATAACTTGGGAGAGTTTGTGAAGGGAAGTTGTGGAACTTTAGCACACTAAATGCTTCTTTGTGAAAAGAACTGGCTTAAGTGTCTCCTACACGAATGAAGACAATTTCTTCATTTTTCTCCCCAAAAATACAGCCTCGAGTGTAAGACACCCACTTTTCATATGTCATTGAGTTTTAGGTTCATCCAACAGCTCTAAATCGATGATGTGTGTTTGATGTGGGTTCTTTTTATTTCCTCTAAGCTGTATGTAATTGACAGTGCTGCTGAAGGCACCTTGGAATGAAGGAATAAAATATCCAAGCCAGTGTAAACTTTGTACCCTAACATGCTCACACTCAGTTTATTTTTGTCAGGATACCTCTGAATTTACTCTTTTAAAAAGAAAGGGAAATGGAATTTTAAAAAATGTTAAGTTGTGCCTATGGTTAATAAATTCTTAGGAGCTGATTAAATGTTGGAGAAGACCACAGAGCCTGTTCTGTGATGCTTGCATAGGCCTCTGTTACAGCAAAAGCGTAAGCAGTGAGATGAACACAGAATTAAAAACCAAAGCAAAATCCTAGTTTCTTTTTAAAGAAATGACTAGCTGTGGGACCAAGTGGGTTCCAGAGTCTAAAACTTAAGCATGGAGAGCCCTTAAGGGTTCATGGGTACCCTCTAGGTACAGAAGACACAATAGTCCTTATTTTTGTTTGTTTGTACTTGGGTTTAAATTCAAGGCCTTGCACTTGCTAAGCAGGTGCTCTACCATTGAGCCATGCCCCCAGCCCTGCAATAGTCCATTTTCAAAGCCAGCTTAACACACAGAAAAAGAAAAGCCATGCGCTTGGACACCAACTCTTTCCAGACATCATCAGTGATGTCCCAAATCATTACCCCAGGGCCAGGCATTCACAGTGGCAGCACCAAAAGATACAGTGGGCTCCCCAGCAGGCAGCTCTCCAGAAGGAGGAGATGTCCCCAAGGCCGTGGCTGTCCACCCTCATGTCAATCCACTCAGAATGAACTGCATGGTAGCCACATTCCCTCCCCTTTCTCTCTTCAGTCTTAGGACATTTAGGTCTGATCTAGGAGAACTAAGCTAAACACTTTCCTTGTTATCTGTCTTCCACCCAGAGTAGTCCAATAATCCAACTGCATAGATGGATTTTTATCTGTGGCTTCCTTTAGCACAGGTGTGACAAAGCCCCAAGTGAAGCTGCTGCCAACATACTTTGTGAGTAGTGTTGATTTTAGCAGCTGTACCTCCAGAAAAATAAACTGTGGTCCTCAAAAGGGGAGAAGGGAGATGAGTTTTCACCTATTTTATACTATTTACTAATGTTGTTTAAGGAAGATTTAGGGTCAGGCATGGTGGTACATGCCTGTAAGGCCAGTACTTGGAAGGCTGAGGGAGGAAAATTGAGAGTTCAAAGCCAGCCTGGGTTACTTAGTGAGACTTTGTCTTAAAAAAAAAACATAAAAAGAAAGAGAAAAAGGAAAAGAAAAAAAAGAAGAAAGAAGAAAGATTTAAGGATGTACTGGATTAGGTAGAAAAGTCTAACCCATGTTTTTTAAGCTTCGTGGTCAAAATTTACTTAAGGAGACTTAGAAAAAGACTGAAATTCATCCCATTCCTCCTCACACAGGTGAAAGAAAAAAAAAATCTTACCTTAAAAATATCCAACTCAGTCAGTGAGTTTTGAAGGCAATTTACAATCTCTGCTAAGGTCTTAGACGACATAAACCTTCTGAGCTGGAATATTCTGAGAACTCACCAAGTAGCTGGCAGGTTGTGGGAGAGAAAGGAGGCCCCTTCTTTCTACTTTGCCATCTTTAATTTCTAAAGAGCAGATTTTTGGTGTAGGCCATGATGGGTGGCCAGATAGACAACCAGAGTATCTTCTAGAACCCTGGGAAGAAAATGGCGGCCTTCTCTGGGTTGTGGGATTGGGCTATCTCACTGGACAGGCTGGGGAGAATAGGACCAGGCCTTCACAGCCACCTTCCTCCAGCCTGGGTTCCCATCTCCACTCCCACTGCAAAGCTTTCTCTACCTCAGCCCGAATGTGACCAAAGCCTGGTTAGTTAAATAAAAAAAGAAAATCTTTTGCTTGTCCTCTCTTACACTGGAAGTACTATTTCCCCATGGTTTTTGTTTTTTTACAGAAGTATCAGCAAATTGGCCAAAAAAGGAAATAACAAAACTGGTGGGATAGCTTTATGTCATTTCAAAAAAAAGGAACTAAGAAAGTTGAGAATTGACAATACTAGATAGAAAATGGGCTAAGTCACCATTTAGAAAATGACTCCTAGTTCAGAGGCTGAAGTTGGCCTCCCAAATGAAGAAGTGTGTGCCTGGGGATGTGGTAGAGCAGGGCTGGGGGATCCTGGAGAAGCCCAGCTTCCAGGATGGTAGTGTGACTTGGGCTAAACCTGTCCTCTGCACCTATACTTCTGCCCTGGGCTGTTGGGACAAGGACTGCTGACTGTAGAGACCAGCACTCTTTCTTGGGGTGGGTTGGCCATTTTGAGAAATGAGACTGAATTTCCTCAAGGAAATTGTTTCTGGGCCAAGTCTAAGGTAAGGAAACTCAGAACGAAATGACCTAAGGTGCAGACTCCGTGGTGGCGTGAATGTTAAGAGAGGAAGGATGTGCACGTGAGGAAAGGGGGTGGAGGGTAAATTAAATCTACAGAGACAATCTTGGCTGGCAGGAGGCAGAAACTTCCCCATTTCCTATGTGTAGGTCTGCCCTGACCTGTATTCTCCTTCGAGGGCACATTTTATTTTTCTTAATTGGGCTGTATTTTAAGAATGCATTAATTATTAATAAGAGTAACTTGTGCCAATAATTGCTTTTCAAGATGTTAGTAAAGGAAGAGAGTGGGGGAATACACTAAAAATAGCATACATTCATTTAAAAAAATGAACACCCAATAACAACTTTTCATGCTCCCCACATGCCTTCATGTAAAATGTGCCTATTCCAAACAGGAAGTTTGGACATTCCCAGAGAAGACTTTTGGTTTAATTCTCCTTGGTGTGTGGGGCTGGGTTTTGTAAACTTAGAAAGGGAGGGAGCCTCCATGCCTACCCCTTTAAAAATGTCATTAAGTTTTTCTGTGGGTTAGGTTTCCTGTTCAGGCACAGGTAAAAATCCAAAAGCTCTTAAATGTAGCTTCCTTTCTTTCACCTTTCAGGGTTTCCCAGAGAGCTATTTTAGGCAAATTGCACAGCGGTTTTGCATCAGTGAAGACTAAATCTATTCTTTCAAAATGTTTGTGCTCACCAAATCAAAGTAGTGTTTTGCCTATCAATCTCATATAATCCTCCCTTCAGTGAATGTTAAACATTGCCACTGGAGGTTTTAAGAGTAATAACCAGGGTTCAGTTTTCAAGACTATTTAATTCTAGGTTTTCACTCACACTTAGGCTGAATTTGGTTTTGAGAGATGAATGTTCTATATGTCAAATAACTAAACAGTTGACAATGGAGTCTCCCTGCTTATGGCAGAGAGTCCAAAGTAAGCTGACATCTTGAACACAGAAACAAAAAAGCACCATATGAAGACATTAATTTTTTTTTTTTTGCTTACTCTCATTGTCATAGGTAGAAATAATATTTATGGGTTTTACTCCCATATTTAAATGACTCATTCCATGTCTTGGAACTAGGGCTTAGAACAGGTCTCGAATCAGGTTCAAGAGACTATTATAAATTAGATATTTATTATGTTTCTAAAACACGATTACTCAAATCTGAGATGGCTGGTATTCTGCAAGAAAACTTTCGCCTTCTGTGTCAGTTGCAGAATGGTCCATGTGCAGGAAATCCAGTTCTAAGACAGAGTTAATGTGGTCTCGAATGGGATTCCTCTCAAATTTGGACTCCAGGTGTGGGGTGAGGAATAAATCTCTGAGTAGAGTGAAAAAGCCCATAGCAGGGAGAGAAAGCCCAAGTCACACTTTATGACCTTGACCCCTTGCTATGCCTTGGAACTTGAAAAAGTACAGTGTTTTTGTTTCAAGCATCCCACAGTTCATATGACTCCAACCTGGGGGGAACTTGGGCTTCTGAATCTATAATTAGTGGTTTTGGATTTATTTTCTTAGTTTGAAAAAAAATGTGCCTGCAGGACTGACTACTTCATTGTTAACGCCAAGCCCCAATATATCAAGCATTAAATGCAAAACTCTAAATATCTTTTTAATAATTCTGTGGGTTAGAAGGGTACCGATGTCCAAACCATAACAAGAATGAGTTTAACATGCCCATCTATGAAAAGCAAATGTTATGTTGTAAGCCACAGCTGCACACTGGAATCATGCTTAAGAGTTTTTTTCATTCATCTTTCCTGTGTGGAACATATGCTCTGCATACCAAGCTCAAGAGCTCTGCTGCACAAGTCAGCTCACTATTCAGTTCGCTGTGGCATCAGCTGCATTTCAATTAGTGGTAAGTAGTGGAAGCATGCAGTTTAGCTAGTAATTAATGTAACCCTATGAATACAAGACCACTTACTCTGCGTCATCGGACACAGGAGTTCTCGGACCGAATCTACAAGACCAAATACAAAATTAGAGCCTGGCAAGGCAGAAAGTTAATGCTGTACACTGTAACCAAGCTGGAAATAAAAGCTACTGGTGCCAAACCTTTTTTGTTGATCATACTGGAAGAAAAGTGTCATTATACCGTTATCCATATTTATTTATTAGCTGCTGAAAATCAAAAAGTCTTGATTTTTCTAAAGAATTTATATTAGAACCCAGAAGAGAATGCAATAATCTCATACTACCCACAAAGAAAGAATCTGCTCTCTCTCTCTCTATATATATATAGATAGATAGATATAGATATAGATACAGATATAGATATAGATATCCAAAGAGGATTAGGTGTAACCCATGATGTTTAGAGATGACAGCTTAAAACACAAACACACGCATTATAGTTATTCACAGTTAAATTGTTCATAGCAGCAATGGGCTCTGATGGACACCCAGCGTACAAGCATGTCCTCCCTCTCTGACCTGTCCCTCGTGTGTTAATGCATTTGCATGACATCGAAGAGTATTTCTACAGTTTTCTGAAAGCACACCAGAACTCCAACCAGAAGCCCACTGAGCCTTCTGCATGCATTTGACAAAAACCACGAAAACTGGTAGTCCTAATCAAAACCAGACTTGGAGGATATTCTATAACTTGAAAATCCAAAGTTTTTTACCCCAACCTTTTACATTCTTTTGGTAATTTAGGTCTAGAAAATTATACCATCTGCGATAGAGTCATTTTATGTCTAAATGTATCTAAGCAAAGAAAAAGATCTAGACAAAAACTGAGACTATTAAAAGGACATGTTTTAAGCACATTTAAGAAAAAGCAGCACCCATGAATGGTGATCCTTTAGCCAAGGTGAATTTTAAGGAACAGTTCTTACCTATACCCTGAAAGGCAGCTCACTTCTGCATTCTGATAGTAGACAAAGAATTATTACAGTAAGGAAAATATGTCCTGTTTCTAGTTCCCAATAAATTACATTTTGGGGTTGTTAGCAAAAAAATTATCTGGTACCATGATCAGTATCCTGGCAATTTAGAAGAAAAAAGAGTAATTTCTATAGTCCCTTTCCTATAATCTTAGAGAAAATATCCTGGGATACATGGCTATCCACACACATACACCTTTATCATTCTAGAACAGTCTGTACTCATTGATAATTATTGAATCACAGTGAAGACAATGAGAGGTTTGCAAAACCCTAAATTCTTGTTGAAATGGCCAAAAGCAAGACAAGAAATGGGTTTGTGAATGTTTTGCTTCTGGCAGTTGAAGATTCACTTGCTGTTCCTGTAGGGGAGAGTTTCAGAAGGTGTTAGTGTTTCATTCAACATTCTCAATGTTCTGAGATGACTGCGAGAGTGAAGCAAATGATGACTGGATTCTTCCACACGAAGAAAGAGTGCTTGGGCAATGTTAATTCTAAAGACTGAGTGAATGTTTCTCAGTTAATAAAAAAAGAAAACCTATTGGAATGCATTTGTTCAAATATAGCATTTTTAAAAATATCTTTGAAGAGAGCAGAGAATTTATTCCTAGTGGTTGATTAATAATTAATTAATTGCTGAAACAATTAATAGATATGTTTTTAACTCTATTTGTGTATTTTTATTAGCATTTTATTGAAGTATACCATAAATACAGAAAGCGTATCTACTACACAAACACCTTGACAAATTTTTATAAACTGAACATACACATAAGTGTGTTTTGACTGTATAAAAGGACTTTAGAAAACATTTTGTCTGTGAGGTTCAGCTATTTTGTTGCATGTAGGACGTATTTGAACTCAAATGGTTTCTTCACAAAATAACACAAGGACATCTCTGCCAACAAATACAGATTTGCACTAAAATCTAAGTCTTGTGGGGGCAGGAATGTCTCTGCTTGGGTTCCCTGAATAGTGACCAGAGGAGGCTAGCAGTAAGTATTTATTGAATGCTTACTAGATGCTGTGGAAACTGAAAAGAATAGCACAGTCTCTGGAGATAACCTTTTATCTCTTTATGACATACTTGTAGATTCAAGGAATTTCCCCTCAGACTAGTTTATTAGCTTTAGAAGGACACAAACTTAAGCAGAATTGCCTTTGCTGGCAAAGAGAAGAAAATTAGAACTTGTATTTCAAGTGGCTTGAAACCAAAAAGTAAAGGTTTATATATATATAGTGTTTATATATATATATTTAAACACTGATAAGAGGATTCTTTAAATGCAAAGTTGGTGAACCAATAGACTATAGGGTATAGAACTGGCAATTGTAACAGGTCACAGCTGGCATAAGCATTCTACCAAAAAGGTTAATTAACAGAGCTTAAATATGAGGGTATGGGTATTTAGAAAGAAAGAGGGAATCATATATGCATCTGTTGGTTACCTTTATGTAACTTTCAGCACGAAAAAAATTTTCAGAATCAATAATCAGCTGGTGATGTATCTCTATTACGAACTAGCATTACCTTAATTTGAACTGAGGGGGAAATGGTTTCATTGCTCATCTAAAATCATCTTCCAGCATGTGACCCAGTGTTTTGCACATAGTAATTACTCAGTAAATACTTGGTGAAAGGAAACATGAATTCCCAAGATGTATACTGGCTCAATCACAAAAATGTCACAGAGTTAATCCGATTGTACCTCCTTGTGCTCAAACTAACCACTCATCCCCATTTGGATATCAAGAGGCCTCTTTCAGAATCACAAATTGAGTGACAGAAGTGACAGGGAATTCATCCGTCTCCCGACTCCTATAGTAATGTGTAGGCAATAGGCTGGAAGAAGAGAGGGGTTTCTCTCGTGGCTGGGTTTGAATCTTGCTCCTGTAATTCCCATTAGTATGTACCAGGGCCTCAGTTTCTCAGTCACAAAATGCACATGGAATCTACATCCTCAAAGGTTGTGTGAAGAGTAAACAGGAATGTAACTGTAACCAGTAGGCAGCCTGCAGACCTCCCCTCCCTCTTTCCTTTCACTCAAACTTGTTTATTCGAAGCTCACTGATCCAGGACCAAGTACCAGGATGGGACATCTAGAAGGTGAGTGATCACAGAGGATCTGGTTGACCACTCAGTCCCTTGGTTGCTAACCAGTCCTAACCAGCCTGGGAATCATGTGTGATCTGCTCCCTTTTCTCTACATCAGACTCCCTGTTTGTGAAATGGAATGAATGTCCATTCAGCCTACCTGTGAGTTCCCAGGAGAAGTGAGATAAACAAAATGGACACACTTTGAAAAGGCTAAAACACCCTCTATGTGTGCTCCCTGGAAACTGATAAGGTTCTACTCTATTGTTATTATACAGAAATTCTGGGTAAATCCAGGTGATCATGCTGGCTAGGGTACTGATTTTGAAAACTGGGGAGTACTTGACATTCTCCTTGCCCCCTGCTGCACTCTGACCCATTGGTTCCCCACTACATCCTCTGACCCACTTCCCTCGTGGTCCTCTGAGAAGCAGAACTCTATCACTTCCTGTCTCATAGTGAGCACAAATTATGCACAACACTCCTCACTCCTTTGCCCTGCATTGGGCAGGTAGACCACACTTATAACAAAAAAATATATTTCTCTTTTTAAATGGCAATAGAGACTTGAACCCCAGAATTATTATTTCTTTACTCTCCATTGTAAATCAAGTCAGAGCATGGAACAGAAATTCTACTCCTAGGTGGCAATGAGGGTTTGCTAATGCTGAAGAATTAAACTACAAATTTTATAAATGGTATTCATCTTGCTTGGCCTGGAATCAGTAAAACCAAATAAGACAGAAAGAAGTTCAAATCCTCTACGGTGGCTTATCTGTGAGCCAGGAAGAAATAATAAGAGTTTCCCATTTATTGTGCCCACAAGATGAAGATTAGAATGAATTTTTGACAGGTAAATTTCCTGCTGAACTGTTATTTCCATTCCTGCTTACATGCAAAGAAGAAAAAAAATTCTTGTTTGACTGGGTCAGTTTTGATCATTCCATGTCTGCCAGCAATAGCAGCAAGTGGCTTTGATGCACCATTATGCATTAATGACACACTCAAAGCACAGATCAGAGCTCAGACTAGAGGAACAAAGTCGTAAGGCACAGGAGAGCCCTCTGACCCGCCATGGGTGGACCCTTGGCAGATTTCTCCACATCCTGCCGCTGTGGAAATGGATGGGGAAGGAACTGGTTTGGTTTGGATCCAGTGTGTCCAGGGAACATCCCAGTTCTCCTGATCATCATGTCATCCTTTCATGGCTTAGTCAACTTTCTTTGGCCTTTCAGTCCACTGCCACACCAGGTAGGAGTTATCATCTTCTTTGACTTCTCTTCTGTCCCTGAAGTCTCCCATTCAGAGGCCAGAGGACATGCTCTAGGGCTACATTCAGTCCAGCCAGTCAAAGGCCACTTATTGTTAACGGTATTCTATTCAGTAGCGTCACTCACTGGTGTTAATCAAGACAAGAAGCAGCCAACATCCCCGGAGGCAGAAGCACGCAGAGCAGCTGGATAGGGAATCTCCCTTTGGAATTCCGTGAGTCCCTACCATGCAGCTGGTACCTGCAGGGGAAAGGTTCCCTTCCACTTTTCACAATTGCTGACAGTGAACTTTGGCCAGAGCCCAGCTACATGCAAAGGCTAAAATCTCTTTCCAGAGTGGGCAGCAGAAGCAGAACTCTGCTCCTAGGATGGGCACATTCCTTTAAGTGACTTTACTCTGCGCTGTGTCAGGCACCCAGTGCAGACTGGATGCTAAGCTGTTTTGGGGGACACACTGACCACGCACAGCAGAGGCAGCACACCATGGAACACAGGCAGGTGGCTCACAGGGAATGGCTGTACTCCTCCGATCTTTCTACTTTCGGTGCCATCTCGGGATCTTTGGGAGCAACTACTTCATTTTCTTCTCTGCCATCCTGTGGCAGCTGTTTAGACATAACTAGAGCCAAAGAGGACAGCTTTACTATGACAAAAAAATTCACCAAAGGCCTGCCCCACTTGTCATTCATCACCTCCTGAGAGGCAGAACACACTGCTCCTCACCTTCCTCTGTCATCCTTGGGCTCTCGCCCAGAGTGCAGATCTGCTCATCCTGAGACTCCAGCACAGGAGCCAGCCACGAGGCCCTTTTGCAATTGTCATCTGTACCAGAATTCACTAACCTGTTGTTAGTCAGGTAGCAGGGATGGCAAAAGACAAGAGGAAAATGATTTATGAGAGGAGACAAAGAAAGGCTTAAAGACCAAAAGATTGAGATATTCCCTGCTCTCATCTCACTGGCTGGTTAGGAAGGGTGACTTAACCAGATTGAGATAATAGAATGTTAACTCTGGCAAAGGCCTGACACAAGTCAAGGAAGCCTGGCGTGACCTTGTCACCATGTGGGGGCGGAGGCTGAGTGATGGCCTCCGCAGCATTCCAGGACTCAAGGCTGCATTTCTCAGGGACTTCTTACCCCATCCTTACCTCAGATCCCCATCACCTCTGAAGCTCTGACTGTGTGTCTCGGGTGTATCTATGTCTACAAACTGCTCTGCTCTATAGAGTGTGACAGCCTGGAACCAGACACCCTCGCACATGTCATGGACCACTCACTACCTCCTTTGGATTTCAAGGACAGAGCGTGGAGAACAAGATCCTGGGCATTTTCTCCCGTCATGAAGAACCTCATCTGGCTCCTACCAGGCGGGTGGGATGGCGGGTTATGGGGTACTCACTTAACAGAACAGAGATCAACCCCTAGACTGAATCCCCAGATAAGGGCTTAGAGGTCACAGCTGGACAGACTGTAGGAGGGGTTTTAGTAGCAGGTCTTCTGGCTGATTCCTTTAAGGAAATACTTAACTTATGAAGGAATGTTTCTGACTCCCCACAAAGAGGAGTCTTTTTCCACTCAAGATTTATCATATAATTGAAAAACTTAGGGGAGGAAGAGACCTTTACTTGTGTGTACTTGCTTGTCCACAAATGTTCACAGCTAGCTCCTAGCCATAGGATAGGAAAGAGGAAGGTTATAGATAAACCAGTTTTTTTTTTAAATCAATATATCTTTAGAAGAAACATTAAAACATTCCATCTGGCTCATTTGATATTTTCAAGTAATAAAATAGTGCTTAATGAAGCAGAGGCAAAAAGGGTCTTTTGTGGAGATTACTGGCATTCCCAGGCAGTGATTCCCACGACAACAGAATGGAAATGGATGGCTGCTGTTTAACCTCACACACATGCTCCTCCCAGAGTGACACTTCGCCCCCACCCCCATCAACGTGACTTCTTTGCTACTGGGTACAAAAGTCTTTTAAAACTCTGCCATCTCTAAGTAACTAATGTGCTTCAGCAAACTCTTGGTTGTTTTCATGTTTTGGAGTCAGGGATCACCAGAGCTTCGCACATGCTAAGCATATGAGTTACACCCCCAACCCCAGCAAACTCCTTAAAAGCAGCAGTGACTCCATGCACATCTCCCTGCAAAGGATGGCAAAAAAAAATACCTGTTGTCATTTTGGGGACTAAGCACTTGGTCCTCGTGTAAGCTAGGAGCAGCCGCCGAGGGAGGGGACCCAGAGGAAGTGTCAACCTCGCTGCCATGACTGACGGCTTCTGCATCCTCCCTGGGCTCAGCCTGGCCAATGCTGAGCCGCTTCCATGTCTGCTGATCTATCTCTGTCACTGGCCCAAAGTGCACAAACTTTTGCCTAGGGCTGGAAACTTTCTTATAGGCCCTTGCTCTGCGGCTGGCAAAGTCGTCTCGGAGAGCAATTTCTGCATTGATTTCTGGTGAAGGCTGGGGAGCACAGGTATGCTGAGTATCTCCATCCCTGGTCAGAACCAGAAATAAGTTCCAAAGATTTCTCAGGCAAGTACAAGCAAATCAATCAGAGGTCTAACGCCTAAAACTAGATGTGTGAAAAATACTCCCATGAGTAGAACAGAATTACTTTTGTACTAGCCAATCAAATAAAGAAATAATCATTGTCTTGCCTATGAAAATAGTGCTTTAGGTTTTCATTGCTTTCAAAACATTAATTCCAGCATCATAAGTGATTTTCTTACACTAGTAAGAAAATCATAGACATAGTGGAAAAATTGAGATATTAAAAAATCAAGTTTAAATTCTTTACAGTAAATAAGTTTAGCAAAAAAAAAAAAAATTCACAGTAACTCAGGTTAAACAGGACATTTTCTGCTCATGCAGAGTGTGGCTTTTAGTGTTAATGTTTCATCTCATGAAGAACATGCTGATTCCAGAAGCCTGGTATTTTGAGAGGTGCTTTATTCAGCCATCAAAATTAAACATGAAACAAGGACTTCTCCTTCAATGTAAAATAATACCTCTGCAAGGGGAAAACATGACACACCTCATCTTTCCTGACACTTTCAGTCGCTCCCACGTCTCCAAGTCGGCTTCTGTAATCTCGGAGAGTTTGATAAAGCTTGGAGCCTCGCGGTGAGGGGCAAGGCTGCCCTGGATTTTCCGCTGGGCCAGGTCATCCTTGTGAAGGCCTGGCATCTTCCTGAGACCTCCTGCCACTGGTCCACTCTCCTGAGCTTGTACATTACATGTCACCACTGACTTCACCTCTTCTGGTTGGCCCTGGTTTCTGTCAATTTGATCCAGTCCCCCACAGCATTGGAAAAATCAGGTTGAAGGAAAGGGAGCAGATAAACAGAAAGTCAAGCATGGAAATTCAGAGAGGCTGAGGCCAGAAGAAAAGGACAGAAGAACCTTTCCCTTTCTCAAATTATGGGATCATTGGGGCTGTGGTTGCTATCATCTACAATGCCTTCTTGAAACGGTAACAAGAAAGACTTTTTGCTAGCAGATGATAGCCTCTAGTCAAGCCAGGGCTCTCTGGAAGACTGTTAAAGGTAATGAGCCAGGGGCTGGTGGCTCACGCCTATAATCCTAGCTATTCAGGAGACAAGAGATCAGGAGGATTGCAGTTTGAAGCCAGCCCAGGCAAATAGTTCCGTGAGACCCTATCTTGTGGCTCAAGGTGAAGAGCCTGAGTTCAAGCCCCAGTCCCGCATAAAAACAGAAAGGTAATGAGTTTTCATTTCTGATGCCCAATTCCCACTCTATTTAAGTTACTGTAATGGATTCAAGTTTTCTAATTGAATTTCTTAGCCCTCTTGGAATTTTTTTTTTTATTGCATTAGTAAAATGTTAGTAGTGAGCTCTGCATGATCCGATTTCTAGGGTTAGTTTAGAGATAGCCGGAATGCTGTTCACATATGAAATATCCCAACCAGAAACTCACAACTTCCAGGAAATACATTTAAGTCAGTTCAGACTAGAAAGTTTCAACATTCAACCTCAGGCTCTGTTTTACAGGGTTGGCTACTGGAAATGTGAAGGACAGAGGGAATTTGCTCTTCAGCTGGATGGACAGAGTCAAGTTCGTGTGTTTCTTGTGCTAGTAAACCTCTCTGGATGCTAAAATGATTCTTTCAATTGTTTTCCTAATAAGTGAACATTAACTGGCAAAACTGTGACATCTATATGTAAAAACATTCTGTCACATTGAAAGTTAATATTCAAAAAATTTCTCAAACTCAGTGCTTCAGCAAGCATCCTACTACTTTAGCCATACCCCAACTCTTTTGCTTTTCTCTTTGAGATAGGATCTCACTAACTGCCCTGACCTGTCAGATAAAAATCCTCCTGCCTCTACCTAAAAGTCAATTTCTAATTGGCTAAATAAGCTTCTTAAGATAGAAAAATCCCCAAAACATACACAAATAGGGCCTACTTATTCTTCAATATATATCCTCCAAGCCTTCTGGCTTGGACTACCAAGAGGTACTCTGTTGTTACCTGGATGATTTGGTGTTTTTGCAAAGCCTATTCCAATAGTAAGGCTACAGAATTTTCTATGTAATTTTAGTCTATGGAAAGAGATTAAGGAATAGCATAGCAAAGAAGCCACTAGACACTCAGCTTTATTTAGTTTATCAGTTCTTTGATGCTCTCTAGAGAAATTGTGGTCTTCCCTAGACCCAGAACTGTGGCCCCAAACACAGAGTCAGGTGACAACAAATACAGCTAGGAACATCAGGAATTAAAATTACAGGGAGGAGAAAGAGAGATACAAAAGCTACTCTTCCTAACTCAAATTGCTGATCACCATCAATATGACTATGAGCTAGTCAGTTATCCAAAAGTCTTCGTTCAACTTGCAAAAACTGATCCCTCCCATAAGGCCTTCCAACAAGAACTGCACAGGCCCAGGGCCTCCTGAAACTATAATATGTCCTGTGAAAAATGGTGCTGGGTCTTCTCTGCTCTAGCCCTACTCTGTACTCAGGGACATTTCAATAGGTTCAAATCCAGTACTTCCTTAAAAACAAAACAAAACAAAACCCAGCTAACACCAACTATTCCACTAAGTTCAGTAACTCTACCCAGGGAGCCATTTTTAATTGTATAAAGCACAGCTAAGATAATGATATTCTTAGTTCAACAGACTTCAAAACCTCTAAATTGATGGGCAAAAAAAAAAAATGAAGATGCTAACTCTAAATGATTTTGATATGAGGAAAAACATAAGAAAATAACTCTGCAGGATAAAATTTAGCAAGCAGAGATGTTAAATGACATCATGTCTCTCTTAGGACAAAAATCACTTACCGAATCCCATATGACTACAATTTTCCTTTCTCCAATTCACTTCTCCAATGCTTGAGATCATAAATGCTTTAGATTACAGATTTTTTTTTGGATTGTGAAATATTTTGCACCTATATAATGTGACTTCTTGACTGAAATCTAAATCTGAAATTCATTTTTCGTTTTATGCATACACTATAGACATAGCCAGAAGGCAATTTTTACATGACATTTTTAGTGCACCTGCATTTCAACTTTTATCTGTCATGTGAGGTCAGGTGTGGAATTTTCCACTTGTGGTGTCATGTTGGTTCTCAAAAAATCTAGGATTTTGGGTTTTCAGATTGGGGCTGCTCAACCTGTGTTAAGATGATAGGGGAAAAGTTGGGAGAAGGAAACTCACTTAAAAAGTTTCCCTTGAGGAAAACCAAAGACAAAAGAAAAAAAAGTTTCCATGATAGGACACACAGAAGTGTATTACATGCCTGAGAATTTTTTTTAATGGAAAGTACTCATCATTTGTTCAGGTGATCTTGCCAGCATGAGAGAAGAAAGAGCAAGCCTCATTTTTCTTTCTTCTAACATCTAAAAGTTGCTAATAGGAAAGAGGAGTGTGCAGTAAGGGAAGAGCTGCATTTTATGCCTCTTCAAATGGGCTGGAGTAGTCTTGAGAGTTAGCTGTTTTCTGAAAAGTAACAGCATGTGTCTAGTTGGCCATTGATTCCAATCTATGACACCAGCACCATACATGGTGATGTGCCCTGATTCAGCACACCCACATGCTAGAATTCAGCATTTGTTTGGCAAATTCTGCCCTATGTTGGCCACACCACTCTGCTGTTTGCCATCTACATTTAGGCAGTTACGGGAGACTGGATATCTGGAATGCACTTCAAAATCAGCCACCACATCAAGGTACATGTAACTAGGGCTACGTACAAATCTCCTTTGCTTAAGTATATCCTCTCTCTCTTATAGACACACACAGTGCACACCTTTTATATTCTAGACTTTTGTTGTCTGAGAGTCTCTTTGAGAGCTGTTTGCTGCTATTTGATTTCTGTGTGTCTTTTTTTCGATAAGGCCCATACAGGAGTTGATTCAATGGCACCATTGGCTTGGTTTGGTTCATCCTTGCTCTCCGTGCAGCAAAGTCATCTTTCTCAAGGTCAGGCAGACGACATGCAGTTTCATCTTCTGACTCCGAATCTTTGCCATGTTGGTGGGTCAGGAAAGGATTTTCTTTGCGAAGGACAATATCACGAACAGCTTCTTTTTTCTCTTCACTTAAATGCTTTTGACTAATAGAGCAAAATTAAATGGAACTCCACAAGTGATCAGGACAAAAAATGCTTTGAAATCCCCACCTCCAGGCAGACAACTGTATTGTTAGTGAAACATCCTCTCAACATTGTTAGTTTAAGTTACATCACCTTATTACTGTATTCCAGAGTTGTAACCTCGTTAGGGTGGATTTTAAAACTTTGAATGCAACCAGATGCTAGCAATACTAAAAATTCCTTTAATTTGCAGAGTTTCATCAGCATCAAAAAAGCAGGATCCTAAATGGCTCTGAAAGTGACAATCCAAATTCTTTTCATGATTTTTTTTTTTTTTTTTGGCTGTACTGGGGTTTGAACTCGGGGCCTTGTGTTTGCCAGGCAGGCACTCTACCATACAGTCCACACCTCTAGACTCTTTTCATGAAATTGGGAAAAAGTAGGAAGCTCTTTGTTGTTGTTTTTTCTTCTTTATCATGTTAGTAATGTACCCAGTAGGTTTTCGATTCATTCTTGGCTCACAGAGGAAAACACCAGCCACCAAGAAACTGGTCTGGGGGAAAACTAGTGAATGCAGCTATGTGACAGCACATTTACAATGTATGCCAGACTGCAAAGTATAAGGAAAGTCCTTCTGCTAAACTGAACTAACCTGAAACATCTGGAATAGTTTAAGACCACTCAGAGGAGGAACCCAAGACATAAAAGCTTATCTTGCCCCACAATCTCCCATCAGCAACCTCTTCTTCTTCCTTAAATCTCCTCCTCTCAGGGCTGCTTCTTTGTTATAAGCAAGATGTCCTGCACATTGTAGAAAGACATTTTGCCAAAATGGTTTTGAAATTGGTACTATAGACTATTTCCATTTGCAAAGGAGTCTAGAGAGCTTTTTTAAAATAGAAGCTTCATGTGGCTAAAGGCATGCAGTTTAATGGTGGAATATCAGGCTGTGATCTTAAAGACTCTTGCTACTTTCTCCTTTGCTTTTGTTTTTGTTCTGGGGTCAGAGGGAATAGAGAAATTGTACCTATGTGGCATTCAAATAACACCCAACCCTTCCACCTACTCACAGACTGCCTTGTTTCTAAATAATAAAATGTTAATGCCTTTTTCATCATTTATTATCTTCTCAGTTCATAAAGATGATAAGAGAATAAAATGCCTTGATTTCTAAAGAAAGTTCACTTTCATACTTTATATGGGCTTTCTGACAGGATTAAGGGCACATTTTTATCCTCAAAGGACAAACCCATCTCAGAAATGAAGATAGGAGGAATTAGTCTGAGAGTAGAGCAATCAATGAAATTGTGTACTTTGGTTGACCAGTTGGCCCACTAGTCTTTGCTTTGCCTCCTACTGTTCTATAGAGGTCATCATCTTAGGGCAACATGAGGCCCCTTTCCCTTTGGCTTTTGGAAAGTTACAGCATCCTCAGTCATGCCCAGAAAATACCTTCTCACTGTTTACCACTGTTCTCAATGAAATTTTAAAACATGGAATTTGAGTGGCCATAATGTTTTGCTCCTGAATAAATTTATTTCTTAAAATATGAAATCCTGCTCTTTGAGTTGCACACCCAACTAGCAGTCTCCTGCCTGGCCCCTCTATGAACTGTGCTCATGCTACTCCCTGCCTATTTAGTCAATATGTTTGGCAAAGCCCAACTCAGATTGGGTGACTATGGCCCTGAAAAATGGTCAATGAAAATTGACAGGCCACTGAATTATTTCTTCTAAAGCATCATGTATAAAGCACATTGATGATAATGAAGGTGGCTAATGTTACTGAGTACAAATTATATACTAGAATTTCTCCTAAATTAATTCTAACACTAATCCTGCAAGATCCATGTTATTCTTATTCCCATTTTATCAACTGTAAGCAAGATTAGGCTAAGAAAAGTGCCTGAGGTCAAAGAGCTAGTGCTTAAGTTAAAATGCAAACCCAGGCAGCCTTGGCTCCTGTTCTATGACAAAGAATAGACCACTGTACTATTCACTGAGCAAACAACCCTTCCAGGAACAGTTCTGAAAGCAGAACCATCAGACAAAAAAATAAGGTATTATCATTACTGTGAGAACAGGATAAAGGGAAGTAATTTGGTTACTAAACAAAGGGATCCTGAGCTGTACTTAGAATGGAGCTGTGATTTGCATTGCTGGTTATAGACAGCAACATTCAGTCAGGATTGATGGTAGCAGAATGCTAACCAACCATACCTTACAATTTTGCACAACACTATATAGTTTACAAAGCCCTTTCAAACTGATACCCCAGTGGGGAAGCACACACCTCACATACACTCAGACCCCAGGGCAGGAGCAGATCCCAAGCTTTGAATTTCATAAGCCCCAGAGTGGCACTCTTTCTACTTTTTACCAGGAGGCCTTGGCTTCATCTCAGGCAGAATTCTTTGTAATAAAAAGTATGCATTTATGCAAATGACCCTGCCAATTTGCAATGCCAATTTAGCAGGGAGAATCTGGTACCCCATGCATCATGTGAGCCTAGCCAGGCTACAAATTCCCCTGGTGTTTTTCTTTTTAGGCTAAATGCCCAGTGTGGCAGGACTTATTTCAAGTGATCTCCATTTAGACATGTGGACTTAAAAAAAAAAGGAGGTGGAAGAAAGTTTCCATATCATCTGCTGCTTAAAGATATTCCCCGCCCACTTGAAAAATTGTCACAATGATTGATTTTTGCTAATTGTGTGAATTCTGTCAATTCAGAGCTTCAAGGAAGACTCAGAGAAAGGAAAAAATAATGATATAAATTTGGGCTGGCACCATTGGCCATGCAGTAACAAGGGATATGTCTAAGGCAGATACATAAGAGTAATTACAGGTGTCTACTTACTGAAATCAGTACTTTGTAACGTACAGTTTCTTTTTCTTGAGGGTTCTTAAGGGCAGTATATTGCGAACCTTTGATATAGTTTAGTTTATTTTTCAGCAATTACAACTCTGAGCAGTTAGTACATTCCAGAAGACTGCTGTTCATGACACCCCTACACACTAGGAATTATGACACCCACTTTGCAGAGGAGAATATTAAAGCCTCTAGTTCAAGTCATATGAACTTAGGTAAATTCACTTTCAATAAGCAGCAGACTCAGGCTGTCTGGCTACATATTTACAGGGAGGTTTGGCATTTTAATTTCTTTCAAGCCATTCATAGATGAGTTGCTTTGGGAAAAAGGATTTGCTTGGTGGACCACACTCACTGGAAAGGAATACAGTCCATATGCAATGAGAACTGCAGAGCTCTGCCTGTAACCTGGCAACACTGCCACCCTCATCTAAAACAAGTAAGACTGTCATGATAGGACAGATTACAGACCCAACACATGGGATAGGTCTCAAAGTTTCTAAGGCTTATATATTTCAAAGTGAATGAGACAATGATTTAAACTAAGGAAGAGCTGGCATTTTCTTTCATCCTTTCACTTGGCAATGCATAAGCAACCAATTCAACTTGGCAGTCAGTCTGTTCTATTGAAAGAAACTGGGCTCTCCAGAAAAGCCTGTTAGTCCTCTTGGGAATGTCACTGGCAACACCAGACACCTCTCTGCTCACCCCACCTCTAAGCAGAGCAGCTACCATCCAAAGTGACAAAGTCGTGCATGTTCTGTATCTGCCTGGTCCCAAGACTGCAGGATCTGTACTGTACGAGTCAGGGAACCAGCATTTGTAAGGAGAGCTGTGGGAGAAAATGTCTGGCACTCAGCTACATCTGCTCTTCCTCTAAAGATTTCTAAAATGTCTATTGTTCCTCGGAGATTTTTCTCCCTCTGTAATTAATTACTATGTGGTCGAGAAGATTCACAGACTAGCAAAAAAGCCTGAGTGCTGAAACATACGAAAACAATTAGAAAAGAAGTACAATCACGTGAAACCTATAATTCAGTCCAAAAAAAAAAGTTTACTTCTCCAATGGGAAACACCAAGTAAGAGAACTCAAATCTCCATGGCATTTTAATTCAGGGGAAGTGAATCTTGGTTCTTATTTTATCCTCTTAAAAACAGAAATCTGGCTTCTTTGGCAGAGGCTTACATTGTGGGGGAGAGGAGTAATTAAGTTAACACGATCATAAAATAAAATGGGAGAAAAAGTAGTTTATATACTTTTTTACTTCGATGGAAACTCTAATAAATAGTCAATACCACACATTTATTAAGAAGTCCTACTTTCTGTCACCTGATGCTAAGATACCTCCTAATATATGGTTTCACAAGAAGCTCGGGACTTCTAGGTTTCTAACCCCATGAAAACAGAATACCATGCATCTGTGCTACTTTTGTATGTTGTCTTAAAAGTAATGCATGGAGGTATTTGAGAATCCTTGGAAAAGCAAATGAAGAATGCTTTACAAAAGTAAAATTCTGCTCTTCCTCTGTATGCCCCGGCCCCTGCACATCACACTCTCCACACTCTCACTTGTCTCTGCAAACACAGACTTTCCCAGCTGAGAAATGGGCCCCGAGAAATATCTTGGGCCTCTTGTTGGTCTAAAGATGGTGATTGCCAGGATCCACGTGGATGTCAGTTAAAATGCATTGAGAGACATTGGCATACTTCAATGATTTATATTCTTATTTTCCAGACACCAAGAATCCTTCACTTCTTCATGATATGCATGGCATTCCAGTTAAGTAACTTTCAGCCACATTAAAAGTGGGACCCCAAGTGTGGATAAACTTAGAATGACTCTCAACTCTATTGTGGCTTGCAAAAAGTTCAGTAACAAAAAACATGGACACGCCAGGCTGGTGGCATGGTACATATAAAATCTCTATGCGTGAACTAGCAGCTGTAAAATCTGGCTAACAAATGAACTCTGGATGATTGAAGAAGCTATACTGTTTTGCTATTTGGGGCATTCTCTAGGGACATGCTTAATTGTCCCAAACCCAACCCCAGTTTTAAATTGCTAAGTTAGAAGGTCTGAGGTAAGTTTCTGCTTCCTAGAGTTAATTTGGGTGAAAACAGGTAAAATTAAGCCAGATAACATAGATGGGACCAAGAGATAAAGATAATACGCATCTATCAGAATTATATTTTGAACTATGAGTTTATGTTTGCATATTGAATGGGAGTTGTCATAAAGCTCAATGTTTTGTTTGTTGTTAAATATGGCTCCCAGTTATGGCACAGGACATTTGTGGATTTCCTACTCAGTGTGTGACTTCTTTTTTCTACATTGTCAGAATTTCTGAGTGTCCACTTAGCTCAATGTAACTTCCTGCTCACCAACCCTTGCTCTTTTACAGACTCTAAACATGATAGTGTCATTGGTAAATTTTTGTTTAAAACTTCACAGATAAGATAAACATGAAGGTATGTATATCAAAGATATAAAGATTAAGAGGGTTTTTTATATAAATTCATACGTTTATCTATTTAACTTAGTATATACTCTTATTGTGTCTTAGACATTAATAGAGAAGCAAGAGAAGTCTGCAAATGGCACATGGTAAGGGAATATTATTTATTTTTTGTATTCTCAGCATCTAATCTGATCTCTGGTACAAGTAGATGTTCTAGGGATGTAGAAAAAAGTAATGTCTCATGAGGTCTTTTCAAAATTCAAAGAATATCTGGATTTAAAAAGATTCTATGATATTACTCTTCATTTTATTTCAGAGAGCTGAAATGCTCTCTTGTAACACAAGCATGATTTTAGGCTAGAATTTCTAAAAGCACATACATGTTTAGGATAGGCATGGTTATCTGTGGGATACCATAGACAGAGAAGAAGCATGCCCCCTTTTTTTTTTAAGTCAATACAAGCTACTCTAGGATTAAATCCATTTAAGTCAACACTGGATATTTCAATTAAGACCTAGACCGCAGAAAGAACCGCATCTGTGCTTGTATAGAAAAATGGAGAATGTTCTGTTATATGCATGGGAGGAAGCTGTGGCTAAAGCACCTGAATCTGGCCACCAGGTCAGCTGTGACCAGTTCTGCTAGTCACTTACTATCACCAATCCTCAGTTTCTTCTGAAAAATGAGTATATCACCTGTCCTTTAGAATTAAATAGACCAGCAAGTGGCAAAGGAATTTCAATTGTGAAATCCCTATGAATGTCAACTTGTCACATAGCTACTGGCTGCAATATTGTTGATTAGTATCATTGTGGTCATTATTATATAAGAAGGATTAATCAGCTTTTCAAAACAGTACATAAACCTGCAGAGCTAGGGTTCCCTGGGGCTTCGATCGTGGACAGTCTCCAGCTCACATGTAATACGAAGCCACCAGGACTATACACTAATGCCTTTGTCATAATTAAGAGAATTACTCCATTCTTTGTTTTTGAGTCAACATGCTTTAGAAAATAAGGAATTAAATAAATTCAATCCTACTTAAGACCAGAGTCTTAAGGGAATAAGTCTGGATTTTGTTAGCCAGCCATTCTTTCTAAAGACAGCGTTTCCCACTTCAAGGCACTATTTTCTAGTGATGTGTGAAGATAATTATCTAGTGAGATAGTGAGCCATTTAGGAATAGCATGAAAATTAACAAGCCACAACAAAAGAAAAATAAAAAATTATTGCTAGGTAAATTCAGCAGCCCACAAATGACTGACCACAGTGCAGGACTAGGTTAAATTCTAGTCAAGCAGGAAGGAGCTCACACTCTACCTCATTTTAAATAGCCAAGGACCCCAGCAAGAAACATGCCCTCAGGCAATGACGAGTGTCTATTTATTTGTGTTCAGAGTAGGGAGGAGTAATGCAATGGACAAGCAGGAAGTGGGAAATAACCCATGAGAAGTTCACTATAACATAGATTCCAAACTCGCGGGCATGCAGGCCAGCCAGGCCAGCCACTAGCCAGCAGAGCTAACCTGGCGAAGCGCTGTGCTGCGGCCATGACCTTGATTCCAGCTTGCTCCAGCCGTCTGCGCTTTTGGATTTCCATAGCGTCTTTGTCTTCAGACTTGGGAGCTGGTGCCTCCACAGTGCCCCCTGAAGGAGGCTTCTCCTTACTGCTGCTGTGGGGTACTTCTAACCCCACAGCAGGGCTGTCCAGGGGGTCTTCTTCACCAGGAGACCCCACTTCGCTTCCCTCTTCCTCTATCGTTTCAGGATAACTAGTGAGTTGGACAATAGGGTTTACCAAGCTAACAGACTGGCCTGGAGAACAGACTGCATGTCATTCCCAGCCATTCTGATAATACTTTTCACTTAGAAAAAAAAAATCTAAGCATGACCCTGACAATGTGAAGACAATTAAATGAAGTCCTTTGTTCATTAACATGCCTCATACTGTCATCATTCAGAGCTATTCCAAACTTGATATTGCAAGGAAGAAACTTTTTCCATTAAAAAGATAAACTTCATTAGTTTTGATCAATAATTAAAACTCTTAACAAAATGTTTATTCAACAGAAACATTACAGATAGTAGAAAGAAAAGTTTCCTTTACTATAAGATTATTGAATGCAGAGACTCTATCTTATTTATCTTTTGCCTCTAAATCCTAAAAGACAGCATCAACTACAAAGCGAATGCTCAGTAAACACCCGCTGGCCAAATACAGACATAAACATAGACGGTAAGGAAAACGCTGCTTGTCTCTTCACAGAGATCACAAATCCAGTGTCTCTCGCACTTGTTATCATTGTCTCTACATTGAGTATGAGACCTGTTCCATGCGTCATTTACACACTTGATCGTACAACTACATGACTTACACCCAATTTTGAATAGTCTTTTTACAACGAATCCAAGAGGATCAGGAGTCAGGCAGTCAACACACTAGGATGTGAGTGACAGATCTGTTGTCCATGTCCTGCCAATGAACCTGGTCTCAAACATCTGCTTGTTAGACAAGTATTTGTTGGATACCTAGACATGGTTCGAGGAGCCTTCACGAAGCTGATATTTAATGTGACAAGCTCTCTCCAAGGAACTGTCCTGCCACCTCCATTAGTAATCATGCATCTATTACAGAACTGGTTATTTAACCCCATTTGTACCCAGGAGCTTTAGCAGGAAGGGGACAGCTGGCTCAGGCCTTACCTGAAGGGCCTCTCCCCGCCCAGGGGGGAGGTGGCGGTACTCCAGCTCTTCCGGTATTCCTCCCGCTCTGCCTTCTTCTTTCTCAGAGGAGCAGGGACATAGGCTGTCTGGTTGCTTTTGTTCGGAAGGTACTGATTAAAAGGCACTGCTGATTTTGGCTCACCATGGGAAGTCCGCCGTGCAGACATGTCATCCTTCTTCACATCTGGCAGCTTCCGGTGAGGCAAGTCAGATTCAGAGTCGCTTCCTCTCCCTGGGGAAGACAGGATGGGTGCTGGAAAAGTGTGCTGGGTAGCAGGAAAGTAACCCAATGGTAACTCTGCAGTGTTAGGGGTGTGGTTAAATTAGTGGGTTCCAGGGATTCCTTTCTTAAGTTAGTCACTCGACAAATCTAAAGTATCAGTGTAAATGAGTCTACTCTGGGAACAGCTCTTGATTATAATTAGGAAAAGCAAAAAATAAATGCCAAATTAAAAAACAAAACAGAGGTAAGCCTAACTATCTGGAAGTACAATGAGCAACACATTTGCACTAGAACTGATTCGCAACTCTTGAAAGAAAATCTCCTCAATTCTCCAATGAAGGTTTTTACTGAGCTCCTGCTGCATGTCATACACTGGGCTGGACATTCTGACAAGTAAGAACCAGAAAAGATTTTGACTTTGAAGTATCTTTAACCTACCACGAAATACCAAGAGGAATTACCAAGTTATAATCAAGGAGCACAGATGTATAAAAACAATAGGAATTCAGAAAAGTGACCAATTGGATTATACCCAGGGTTTGCCCTCTAATAAGTGGTTCTTCTCCAATTCTCCTAGGGGGGATGAGCTTTTCTTCCTGCAGTCCCCATGGTCCTATGCTCTCTTCTGGAACATTCTGTTTTCTACCCTGTGTTTTTAGAACAAGAGTTGTATAGTCTTCAGCTTTTACCTGATGAATAAGTGGATTGGTTTAGTTTAAAAAGAGTTTTATAAAAAGCAAAGGAATTCCATATTGCCTACATCAGCCTTCTGTTGAGCAATAGCCCAATAACTGTATTATATTCTTGTTACCTGAGTCTCATCTCATTAGATTTCTAAGACCTATTAAAATTAAGCTATCACAAAGACAAACACAATCATATAAGTAACCACCACTTTAATGGTGGTTGAAAACTCAATCAATGAGAGCATTACAAAGTCATTCAACTCTATTGAGAACAAATAGAAAAAGCCCTATATACTTAAGAAAAGGGTCTTCAACTAAAAGCCAAGAGACGTGGCAGCTTGGCAGATAGGGTAGTGTATGGGGTTTAAAGTCAGATCCCTGTCAAATTGAGTTCTGCTACTCATTAATCTTATTAACTATGAGACTTTGCACATGTTACCTCACCACTGTAAGCCTTTGCCTTCCAATCTGTAAAATGAGAATAATAATATCACGGATTCATAGGACTATTGGGAGGATTGGCTCCATGAAGAACCATTAGTCCTGTACCTATTACTGAGGGTTTAATAAATGCTGCCCACTCTTTATGTTATAACAGTTCTGGATCTATTAGAAATGAGCTATGGGCTCCTAGGCTCATCTCTAACGCACTTGACCGTCCTCTTCTGTGAAACAGAAATGATTTGCCATGGAGATTAAATGCTATAATAGCTTTTTAAAAATTGTAAAAGTTAAAGAGCATTGGCTATAAACAATCTGTTCATTGTTGCACATGAAATATTCAGTTTATGAATTATTCATGCCATTTGCCTTCAGTCTCCCTTCTGAAAATTTGACCATTTCGTGACTTGTTAGTATTTGATTCCTTACTCAGCGTCCTTTCCACGGTAAGTCTTACCAAGTATGTCTGTCTCAGTGTCAAAATAAAATGTTTAGAACCCCCTGTGAATTTCTCTACAAACAAACACTAACACCACCTTGCCTTGCCAAGCCCTTTGATTTGTTTTCCCACCTCACATTAGTCACATTTGATACATGTGGAAACAGGCACAGAGAGGACAAAGGAGCCCCTCTGGCTGGTTAGTGACAGGGCTGACAATCTGGGTTCTGTTCTCCAGACTCCCAGTTCTGTCGTCTGTGGCACACTTCTCATGGAAAAATGTCCTCTGCTTAGAGTGTCCTGACTAAGGGAAGTACTGCACTGCATTGAATGAGCAAATGAATGAATGAATGAAAATGACTCTGCCATCAGCTATGGAAGCTTACAATGAATAAGAGTTGTTTCAGATCCCTCAGTTCCAAAATCATATAATATCTAAAATATATAATCATAATATACTGAGTGAAACACTCAAAATTATGTTGTTTAACACATAAGCTCATCATTTCCCCTTCCAGAATTATTCTATAGTAAATGTCTTAAACAGACATTTCAAGAAACATTAACTTGTAAGTGACCCAGGACAGAATGACTCAGTTGAAAGAAGTGTAGCTTTATGGACTTAAAGCACAGGGTCTCATTTTAGCTTCTCTACCTCCTAGCTGTGTGGCCCTGGCAATTCACACTCTTTGTACCTCAGATCCTCATGGACTATACAGAGCTAACTATACTGCTCTCCTGGGGTGTCATAAGGAATAAATGAGATGACAGAAAGCCCTTGGGAAGAGGCTGCCATGATAGGCCTTTGGTAAATGTTAGAGCTGGTCTTATCTAAAGCCAAGTCTTCCAAAAGATTTTGGTTTCACTTCATCCTGTGAACACAGAAATTTACTAGGGTGGCTTCTCCATGTATTTTCAACAGAGCACATGATGATGACATTATTTGATCAAAGTCTGACCCTTTCTATGTGGCTAGTTTTCTCTCCCTTCCAATAACTAAGTAGGGCCTGAACTTCCTTCCTTCCTTCCTTCCTTCCTTCCTTCCTTCCTTCCTTCCTTCCTTCCTTTCTTCTTCCTTCCTTCCTCCCTTCCTCCCTTCTTTCCTTCTCTTCCCTTCCCCTGTCCTTCCTTTTCCCCTTCCCTTCCCTTCCCTCCCCTTCTTTTTCCCTTCCCTTCCTTTCCCTTTCTTTCCTTCTTTCTTTTCCTATCTTTGCCATGTACTCCCCAGCACTTTGCTTTCTAATCTTCTACTAGTACTTTTTGCTCATATTCCTATTTCTCTTTCTGAATTCATCTTTTATATAAAATATAAGACTGTCCATTTAACACAATAGATCATATTTATGAAATGCATTAAGTTTAAAGGCACTTGAGGAAGCTTTTGTATTTTCTCTTCAGTGAAGTTTAGTAAGTGGCCCCAGAGGGGATGCTAGTGAAGGTGAAGGAGGGATTCATTGGGTGCCTAACAAGAAAGATGATTGACTGGGTCACCTGGAGATCTACTACAGGAAGCTCTGTGTCCAACCCACAGCATCCTGGCACTTCTCCTGAGTGTGGCTCTTGACTGTCTTTTTTGAATGGATCAGTGGGTACCAAAAAAACAATAAAATGAAAGTTCTCCATATTGACTCAATATGGAGTTAAGAATTTCACAACCTAATTGGCTGTGAGTCCTAGGATATAAATTTTCAAGATTTAACAAAAAATGCTTTCCAAATTTGGAAGTGTTTGTTAGGACTAGCAATCTTCTTGATTAGTATCATTAAAAAATATACTATAGACTCTTATGAAATCCAACATGTATTTGGCTAAAATTATATGGCATTTTTAAAAAGACAGATTAAAAAAGTGTTGTTTTTCTTTAAAAACCTCATTAGGTCTTGATTAGTTTACAGGAACATAAGCCCTAAGGTATCAGGCTGATTGGTGAAATCTGTGTAAGATGCTTTTTTTCCATAATGATGTTTTGTAAGGCTCAAGTCAAGTTATTATTTAGATGGAGAAACACATTTATAAACAGACACTAGCTTATCAGTCTTAATTGCTGCAAACTAAATTTTGCCTCGGTATATATTAGTATAATATTAGTAATCATCATCTCAAATCCCTTCAAGATGTGGTTCATTATAAATTCTGAACCCCTGGAAACTGGTGACAGAAGAAAGTATCTGTATTACCAGTTACAAAAAACCAGGGTAAAAAAAAATACAATACTTG